TGTCCCTTCTATAGACACAGCTCCCCACCCTTACTAGCCTATGCCTCTTTTTCTTATTGTTGTCTGATTATAGAATATCAGCTCTCCTTCAGTTCAGTCTGTCCCCACCCTCCAGGTCACCTCCCAAGTATCAGCTCCTCCATGAAGCCTATCCTGATTTGCTCAAACTGTATTTATTTATTTAGCAAATATTGCTCTTCATTGACGATGGCACCATGAAAAGTAAATTCAACTTGGTTCAAGATTTCATGGTCTGGTAGTGGGGAACAACCAAATCTTCATATTGGATGAAATGTTTTTCCTTTACATCTTCTCTCATAGCTGCCTTTTCATACCTCTCCATTTCTTGGAAGTACAATGAAACAGTGGGAAAATTATGAGATAATTAGGGTCCAAAAAACTTGTTTAGGTTGAACTCCACTTTTCCATTATTGCTAGGTGTAATGAAGACCACGGCAAACCCAGAAGGAGGTTCTAAGATTCAAAGCCTCCTCAAGTGAATCTGAGTTTGGTGCCAGCTGGTGCAGCAATCTGCTTCAGCCCAAATATCAATGTCAGTTGGGCCCCAGTTCCCTAGGAGATGTTGTCTGCCATATTCCCTTCTGGCTTTGCATTCCCCTCCAAAACCCACAGACTCCAAGAAGATAAGAAGTTTAGAAAATTGAGCAAGAGGGATTGAGATAGGAGAATAGAATCCAATAGTCAATCATGTTACATCTGAATTTGCTATATGGGAACTGGGTTATTAATGTGGGTTTCTGTATATCCATCTTTCAGACTGTTCTGTGCCTCCCATTAACATTCCTTCAACTAAACTGCTAGATCCCAGGAGACACGACCTCTAATTTTTCATCTTTGAGCCCCAGCACCTACTTCTAAGTTGACATTAAGGCCACATTTAATAAACTCCATGGCTGCTATTTGCATGAGATACAATATGAATGAAGCCCTAGTTCAGGTGCAGAGCTGCGGTGCTGTCTGGCAGAGAATGCAGCATGAAGGAAGAGGTGGCCATTCTGCTAGTGTCAGGGTCCCATGAAAAGGCTGCACAGAAAAGGCTGCACAGGAAGGATGCTGCTTGAGCTGACAAGAACTTACCTTTATATGAGCAGTCCCCCTCCCCCAACAATGAGAGCAATTTGAATCTTGTCTTGTGTCCTGTCCTTCATTGTATTTTATTTATGCATTTGTCTTTTACTCCCTAGATCATAAGGAGCTTTGCTTCATTCACTTTTTTTTTTTACTTCCTCTCCTGTCATAGTATAAACTTAGCAAATGTCAGTAGTGGTGAGATCGGATGACTCAAAAACATTATTTTTAACTTAGAAGAGTTTGAATCTGACAAACATGTGAGCATAACATTCACTACATTTCAATTCTTGGATAAAGTTGGGCATTAAAACTGCTAAAATAGGGGCCGAGCCTGTGGCGCACTCGGGTTCGGATCCTATATAGGGATGACCGGTGCACTCACAGCGCTCACTGGCTGAGCGCGGTGCAGCCGGTCTCAAAAGGACAAAAAAAAAAAAAAACTGCTACAATAGAAAGTGTTATAATTTTACTACAAGTAAACCATCAATTTTGATGGTTGCCTAAAAAAGAATAAGATTAATTATGCTAAGACTGTAGATACACAAGTATTACTAATCAGAAGCTAATTATAAATCAGTTAATCAATTTTAAGTGCTACTTTATGCACTACTACTTATGCCCAAGCTTGGCAAGTTTATGAACCCACTGGTTAGCTTCTCTGCTCTCAGTTTCTTAATCTGTCATAATGTTGACCTCAGAGTTACTGTTTAAGATAAAATGAGGTAGTTCATGTAGATGGCTTAGCCCAGCTGCTGCTTACAGTAATGGTGCAATAAATGTTAACTATTATCTTGATTACTGTCCTATCAGTACTACAGCTTATGTGAGTAGGAACCAAAGTTCTACAGTGAAAGACTTTGTAAGACCTCATGCACGTCCAAATCAGCTCTAGGGAACTAGCATTATGCATCTTCAGTATTTTGTGCCCTTTCTTATCTCTGTGCCTTTGTACTTACTGATCTTTTACCTGAAACATCCTTTTCAACCTTGTTCATCTACTTAAATATCCTGTATAGCTTAGAATCTCTTAACCACCAGCCCCCCAAGAAAAGTTAGTCTATTTGTTCACAGTCATCTTGTAAATACTTCTACTAAGCAATGAAAGTTATTTGCATCTGTGAGTATATGCTAATCTCCTCCTGACAGGAGTTCTTTGAAGTTAAGAATAATGCATTAAAAATATTATGAGTTAAGAATATTTGGGTCCTTAGAACCTTGCATAGTGATTGAGTTCTCAGTAAATAATTGGTGAATGAAGGAAGTTTTAATCTGCACTTAGAGTGTGCTGACACCCAATATAAACCTGTTCCTGCAAATAGGAGACCTGTGATGCACAGATAACTGTTAACACTAGTGACAACTCACTAAATCCCAGCTGCATGTTAAGTCAGGAAAATGGGGAATCACCAGTGTCTCTATTTTCTTCTCAATTGTTATCCTCAATAAACCTATAGTGATTTTCTACTGAGCATCACTGTGAATTCTGTTCCCTTAGGAAATAACAGTCCTTCCATATTTGTGTGTGTGTGTGCGTGTGTGTGTGTGTGTGTGTGTGATTTTGTGGTGGTGTTTTTCCAGAGCAATTGGAGCCAACCCTCTTTACTGTGATTGTAACATGCAATGGTTATCCGACTGGGTAAAGTCAGAATATAAGGAACCCGGAATTGCTCGTTGTGCTGGTCCTGGAGAAATGGCAGATAAACTGTTACTCACAACTCCTTCCAAAAAATTTACATGTCAAGGTATGGTATTTAATTATTTGTACTTATTTTTTAAAAAATCACTATATCAATTAAAGAAGAGAAAGACAATCATTTGTCACTAAATTTCAAAGGTGTAGTTGAAAATCCCAGTAAGTACTTAATTACCTGGTCCACTTGTGCTTGGACAAGACAGAGCAGTTACCTGAGGTGCCGTGTAAAAGACTAGGCTTTTCAAATAAATTTCAGAAAAAGTCCACTGGAAATGACTGAGTGTTCTTGAAAACATATGAAGAAATGCAGAGTACATGGTCTCTGGAAATTCCTTTCATAACTTCTAACAATTAAAATGTTTTGCTTTTGCTTTATCCGAACATGTGCCCTGTTCCAAGGGCTGCCAGGGCCCTGTGGCTTCCTGATACCAGGTAAGGAGAAAAGGGTCCTCCCAAGTGTATAGCCCAGACCTTCTGACTTGCCTCCCATGCTGCAGACTTCCCGTGTTGGTGTTCCTGTTTCTTGCTTGGTTTTTTCCCTTTCTTTTCCCTTTGTCTTATATATTTGTGAATTCTACATAGCGTCTCAATAACAAATATTATTTTCTTCTCTTATTACAAGAGTAATACATGCCCAATATAGAAAATCTATATAAGGAAATATAAACAATAAGAAACATCTTATTTCTGCAAGAAGAAATAAAATTAATCATCAATCACAATACCTAAATCTAACCACTATTATTAAACTTGTTTTGTATATCTTTTCACTTTTGGTAGTCAAATATATGGATGTAGGTTTCTTACACAAAAATGGGTAAAAGGTTACGTTTCTTAAATTATAGATGTTTCAAGAGGGCCACTTATAATTATCATAATGGAAGATAGAAATTCTTGAAAATTGTAAATGTATAATCAGAAAATGTTGATGAAGAATGTTTTATGTGTAAAACTAAATCTTAGGTATTGTGGAGCATAGAGAAGTTTATGGTATGGTCTTACCTTCCAAGACTGCCTTCCAGCAGAAAAAAATATTTTAATATTTGAAAATCTATGTAGGAAAATACATATTTAGGGCAGTAGGTTACAGTATGAGCTCTGAATCCCACTCTGGTTGGGGCTAAATCCCACCTTTCCTTTTTAGTAGTAAGATAACTTTAGTTTAATCACTTAACCAGTCTGTGCCTCAATTTTCTTATTTGTAAGTAAAGATGCTGATAGTACCAATCTGAAAGTGTTGTATTAAGATTACATGACAATATATGTAAAACACGCTGCTGCACACACGGTAACATTCAGTTTTCTTATTTGTAAGTAAAGATGCTGATAGTACCAATCTGAAAGGGTTGTATTAAGATTACATGACAATATATGTAAAACACGCTGCTGCACACACGGTAACATTCAATATAGGTGAGCTGCTAATTGTATTGTTATAGCATTTGAAAACACCAAAAAAAAGATGATGTGAGACACTGTGATTTATTAATAAAAAAAGGAATTTTCAAAAACTATATACATCCCAAATATTTTTAAGTTGGTATCTAATGCTTTGTTTCATAGCTGTAAATGTTTGCAAAAGATGCAATTTGCAGCACACTGAAAATATTGACATTTTAAGACAAAACTCGTCTATTATTCTTTTAAATATATTTGGTGGAATCTAAATACAGCAGCTAATTTTAAAAGAGAAGCAAGATTCTCCTTGATACATTACATTGTTCTCTTTTCTTGAGCTTCTATTTTTTCTCCTGAAATTCTTATTTCCAGTACCTCAGAGAATTGTATTATTCTTTGCTACAAAAAAATGTATATAATTGGTATTTTTAAAAATTTCTTGCCACCAAAAGTCTGTACATTTTTATATTTTTCTCTGAATTGAATTATTGCCATTAATTCTAGTGCATCATTGATTGAAATAGCATAATTGTTTACCAATATTTTAATATTTTACTGAAAATAAGATTTTATTGCAATGCCTCTCTGGGATTATGTGCATTGGTTACAAGAACTTTTGCAAATAACTGGTACTTTAAATCATTCTTTTGTTATCCGAGATGTTTCCTTGGGGCATGCCCATTGGTAAGTTTCTGATAGACTGAGAGGTATACCATTTTCTTATAAAATGGGGGAGAGATGACTGTCAAAGGGGACATAGAGAAGGTAAACTGGCATAAAACTTGTTCTTAGGCATGGTGTCACGAAGATTAAATGGGAAGTTGAGAAGCTGCAAACTGATTCTCTTACACCCCTCTGTGTCCAGGGATCCGTTTTGAAGAATGCTGGTGTTTTGTTCATTTTTTTTCTATTGAAACAAAATTGATTATATGCATTTATAGGGTACCATGTTAAATATCAATACCAGTGTGCAATATGTGATGCTGAAATCAGGATAATTAGTATATTCAGCATTACACAATATAATCATTTTTTGTGGCCCTTTACCAGTTTCTCACCTCCCCCCCCTTCCCACCTCTAGTCACTTCAGTTCTGTTCTCTCCTTTTGAAAGTTCAATGTATTATTGTGATTGTTGTGTCTTTATTTATTTATTTGTTTGTTTGTTTATTTTTAATTTGTTTTTTAGCTCCCACTTAGGAGTGAGAACATGCAGCATGTCTCTTTCTGTGCCTGGTTTATTTCACTTAACATAATTTTCTCTAAGTTCATCCATGCTACTATGAATGGCAGAATTTCATTCTTTTTTATGGCAGAATAGTATTCCATTGTGTATATATGACACAATTTCCTTATCCAGTCATCCATCGATACACTTTTATGTTGTGTCCAACACCTAGCTGTTGTAAATAGAGCTGTGATAAACATGGGAGTACAGGTATCCCTTCAACATGATTTCAGTTTCTTTGGGTATATACCCAGCAGTGGAATTGCTGGATCATATGGAAGTTCTATCTGCAGTTGTTTGAGGAACCTCCATACCATTTTCTATAATGGCTGCACTAACTTACAGTCCCACCAACAGCATAGGAGGGTTCCCCTTTCTCCACATCTTCACCAGCATTTGTTATTCTCTGTCTTTTTGATAATAGCCGGTCTAACTGGACTGAGATATTATCTCAGTGTGGTTTTGATTTGCATTTCCCTGATGCTTAGTGATGTTGAGTATTTTCTCATGTGTCTGTTAGCCATTTGTATACTTTCTTTTTTGAAGTGGCTGTTTATTCCTTTGCACATTTTTTTAATTGGGTTGCTTGGTTTTTTGCTGTTAAGTTGTTTAAGTTCCTTGTGTATTCTGGATATAAATCCTTGTCAGAAGCATGGTTTACAGATAATTTCTCCCATTGTGTAGGGTGTCTTTTCACTTTCTCTTCCTGTACAGAAGGTTTTTAGTTTGATATGCTATTATTTGTTTATTTTTTCTTTTGTTGCCTGTAGTGTCGTGGTCATATTCATAATGTCTTTACCCAGTCCTACTTCCTGAAGTGTTTTCCCTATGTTTTCTTTTAAAAATTTTATAGTTTCAGGTATCATACTAAAGTTTTAATCCATTTTGGGTTGATGGTGGTATATGGCAAGAGGTAGGAGTCTAGTTTCATTCTTCTACATATGGATGTCCACTTGTCCCAGCACCATTTATTGAAGAGGTAGTCTCTTCCACAATGTATGTTCTTGATACCTTTGTAAAACATCAGTTGGCTGTAAATTTGTGGATTGATTTCTGGGTTCTCTATTCTGTTCCATTGGTCTATGTGTCTTTTATTATACAAGTACCATGCTGTTTTTGTTACTATAGCTTTGTAGTATAATTTGAGGTCAGGTAGTATAATGCCTCTGGCTTTATTTATTTATTTATTTGTTTATTGCTCAGGATTGCTTTGGCTTTTTGGGATATTTTGTTGTTCCACATGAATTTTAGGATTTTTTTTCCATTTCTGTGAAGAATATCATTGGTATTTTGATGGGAATTGTGTTGAATTTATAGATTGCTGTGGGTAGTATGAACATTTCACAATGTTGATTCTTCACTCAAAGATCATTAAATGTCTTTCCATCTCTCTGTGTCCTCTTTACTTTCTTTCAGCAGTGATTTGCAGTTCTCATTGTAGAGATCTTTCACATTCTTGGTTAAATTTATTGCTAGGTATTTAATTTTTTTGGTGACTATTACAAATGGGATTGCTTTCTTGATTTCTTTTTGTGCTAGTTCATTGCTGGAGTATAAAAACACCATTGAATTATGCATGCTGACTTTGTATCCTGCAACTTTACTGAAATCATTTATCAACTCTGAAGTTTTTTGCTGGAGTCAGTAGATATTTCTATATATAGGATCATGTCATTTGCAAAGAGGGACAATTTGACTTCATCTTTTCAAATAGGGATGCCCTTTATTTCTTTCTCTTGCCTCATTGTTCTGGCTAGTACTTCCAATACTATGTTAAATAGGAGTGGCTAGAATGGGCATCCTTGTCTTGTTCCTTTTCTTAAGGGAATGTCTTTCAGCCTTTCCCATTTAGGATGATATATCAATGTGTTTGTTGTGTATGGCTTTTATTGTGTTGAGATAATTTCCTTCTCTGCCTAATTTTCTGAGTGTCTTTATCATGAAGGGATGTTGAATTTTGTCAAATGCTTTTTCTGCATCTCTTAAGATAATAGTATGTTTTCTGTCCTTGATTTTGTTGATGTGGAGTATCACATTTACTCACGTGCATATATTGAAGCATCCTTGCATCCCTGGGATTAATCCCACTTGATCATGTATATAATTTTATTTGATGTGTTGCTATATTCTGTTTGCTAATATTTTGTTGAGGATTTTTGTGTCTATGTTCATGAGAGACATTGGCCTGTAGTTTTCTTTTTTTGTTATATGTTTGTCTGGTTTGGGTATCAGGGTAATGGTACCCTCATAGAATGAGTTTGAGAGAAAGGCCTCTATTTCAATTTTTTGGAATAGTTTGAAGAGAATTAGTATTCCTCTTTAAAGGTTTGGTAGAATTTAGTAGTAATGCTATTTATTCGTAGGCTTTTCTTTGTTTGAATACTGCTGATTATTGCTTCAATATCATTGCTAGTTATTAGTCTGA